GAATCTAGCGACTGCGAGGAGGCGGACACCCGTCCCGGCGAGCCCCAGCCCCGGCCCCCGGGCCCGGCTCCGGCATGGATGTGAGGTTCTACCCCGCGGCGGCCGGGGACCCCGCCGGCCTGGATTTCGCGCAGTGCCTGGGGTACTACGGCTACAGCAAGGTGACCGGGCTGGGCCGGGGGGCGGCGGGCGGGGGCCACCTCCCCATCCCCGGCGCTCCCCGCGCTCCAGCTCACCTCATGCTGCACTTTTCTTTCTCCTCTTGCCTCCCTTTCTACTCCTTTCCCTCTGCGCCTTCGTCTCAGTCCAACTCTCCCCTTCTTTCCTTTTTGCCCCCTTTCCCACCCCTTTTTTGTCCCTTTGCTGGCGCTCCCTTCTGCCCCTCCGCCACTCCTCCTACCGCCCCCAGCCCCCCTTTGATGCCCCAAAGAAGCAAAGAGCTGAAAGAGGGGACTCGTGTGTGTTCTTTGTTGTTATTAGTAAACACGAGCTCAGCCCCCTAAGGTGGGGGGCGGGGGGGGGGCGACGCAGGGGTCCCTGATCTCGCGGTCAGATGACCTCGCTCGCCTCCCAAGCCATCCTACCTCCCCCGCCCACCCGAGAGCTGGGCCCAGGGTCGCTTAGGGAAGGAAAGGAACAAACTTTTGAGCGTGCCCTGGACCAGGAGGGGACGGAGCGGTGGGACCCCCGCAGGTCGCCTTTGCTGCCCTATCGCTTGGGCGCTTTGGACCACGGAAAGAAGGTGCCCGACCCTCCCAGATTAGCGCCAGCGGCTTCTACTCATCTTTCTTCTTTTTTTTGGGGGGGGGGGTTAAGTTTTGCATTTCGGGGAGAGTGTCGGAGACCTGCCCACCACGCCCGAGTCACCCCACCTCCGCCATCTCCCTCAACTTCGAGGACCGAGCGTTTCAGGTGGCCGAAGGTGGAACCCAGCAGGTCAGCTGGCGCACCTCGGAGCGGCGAGTCAGGTGGGAGCCGCAGCCCTGTGCCAGGCCCGTGCGGACCCCCGTTCTCTGTCCTTCCCGAAGTCCCCAGGGCTGAGCTTTGGCGAAAACATCACCCCGAGGGCGCTAACTCCGAGAAAGAGCTTTGCTCTGGCTGGCCTGAGCCTTTTGAATGTGGTTTTCTTTCCCCTTCCCGCTGCTCCTCCCTCCTCCCCCCTTTTCTTTCAAATCGTAGTTTGTTTATGATTGCTTGGATAACAGAGGAGGAAATAAGGAGCCAGCTGAAAGAAGGGTGCTATACAAAACTAATGAATAAATAACAGGAAGAGGAGGAATTGTACCGGGAGTGAGGAACCGTTTGCTGTGCCCCGTGTCAATGGAGCCTCGTGTTCCCATCTATTTGTTTATACTCGGTGCCCAACTCCAGTGCTGAAGTTTCTAAAAGACCTTTGGGGTCTCTCTTGCGCTCACCTCTGTGTCGCGAACGCCAGCACCGCGTCTGGCACTGTGGGGCCTCCCAACTTGTACAGAACGTAGGGACTTTCTTCAGCGTGTTTTACCCCTTTGGTGGTGGTGGTGGGCGAGGCTTGGAGCTCTCAGAATTGCAGGAGTGATTCGTTAAGCGTTTAAAGAGAAGCAAGGAAAGGCGGATCTTTGTAGCCAGAGTTAAGGTCTAGCTTGTGTCCTCTGCTTTTGGATTTACTCATGTTATTAAATGCTTTAAAAAGTCCCTCATGTATGCTCAGTCAGGGACTGAGGCAGCCTAATTAAGTATGTAGTGTTTCTGAGAATGCACCTAATTGTTCCAGTGGGGTGTTATTTATCTCCTTGCAACTTCGCCTGTGCATACAAGCCTTGTCTATCTGGGCATGCTCTTATTTTTGGAAGCCATTACCTTGCCTAACGGTAACTACTGCTTTTTCTGATTTAAGATCAGCGACACTCGAGTGACACCAAAATAGAAACCTATTGTACTAATCCAGTCACTGCAATGCGTGGCAAATCTCTGTTCATACGATCCCAAGCATACTTCAAGGGGCCAGAGGAAATTGTGGGTGTTTTGTGTGTGTGTCTTTTTCTTTTTGGAGAAAGGCTATTTTGAGTCCATTTAGAATCAGAACGTGTATTTCACAGAGGGTATATAAAGCTTGAAAACCGACATTTTTTATTGAGATGTTGTTCAACTTCAGGAGTGAGCCCTGCTGGTTGGGTTGCTGTCAGATTCTCTTAATGCAGCTATTTGCCTGAAATAACTTGCTTTCTTAGCAGTGCAGCAATCTGGTGGTCCTAAGTGCTGTGTGTAAGCAGCTTATGAAAGTTAGACACCGTGCTTAATATTGGTGGAAAGCAAATCTGTGCTTATTTTAAGTTATTTTAATGTTTGCATTTACTTCCTTGCAGGCAAAAACTAAATAATCTTTAAACTGAGTCACAATAATGTACTTTCCTGTTCTTAATTTCAACAGCGAAAAACCCAATTTCATTTCCCCCAGTTTTTCTTTATAGGCAGAATGTAGTAGAAGAGGAAGTATTAACTTTATGGGCATAAAACAGCAAGTGCTAATTAAAAGTTTATAGCATTTTATTTCCCAGCTAACTTGTGTATCTGAAGTGGTGGATTAAGTACAGGTTTACACTGCAAACGTAAAAGCTAGTGTACAAAGGCATGCATTTATTTTATTTGAAAATACCTGGAGTTATTAAATCTTTTCAGACTTAACTTTCATTGATGTGTATTATCTTTCTTGATGAGAAATGATGGATTTCAAAGAAAGTATGTTTGTGCCCTTTCTTGTTTTAACAACCATCTGGGAGACCTTAGAAGAAACAGAACCCTCGGCTCCAGGCTTAACAAGTGAAAAGTTAGCGCGTATCTTTAAATTTATTTACAAACCGTGAATAACAGGGCTTCATTCATTTCTCTCTTTAACAAATGACCACTCCTTTGTATAAATTATATGCATGTGTATTATCTTTACATTCTGGGAGAATATGGATTCCTTTTTAAATGTCAGCGCCCATGAAAGTGTACTCTTGTCTATGGAGAATGGATGAAAGAGTTTTGAGGGTTCAAAAGTTGTTGCAAGTAGCAGAATAACTTCAAATAAAATATAGTGAGGATCATTAAAATCAGTTAATAATTCATGAACCAGCCACTGATGTCTAATCTTCAAGTCATCCCCATTTTCAAAGGACTAATTTCCATTTTAATTTCAAGTGGAAAATCTGTTTGAACATTTCTTTTTCTGATGTGGCTATCAAATTAAACTAACACCTATAGAATTTAAAAAAAAAAAAAGTTGTATGTTACTCAAGTGAATTGCTGAACCACTAATCATATACCTGGAATTGTTCTTTCCCTGGCTTAGTCTTTTCACTAGTAAGAAAATAATGTGCAAACCTATCGGTTGGCATGGAGTTGTCAGAAGTCTGCCGCCCCAAAATAAGATATTGTGTTTAACTGGATGTAGTGAAATGAAATCACACAGTGAGTTAATAATGAACTTGTACTAGACTTCAGTTACTAGCTTTTTCTGCATATTCTTAGGTTCCCTCCTCCCCCTTTAAGAATATGGCTATTGACTAATTACCCTTATGTAGATAAGTCCCGTGTGGTTTTTATTCCATTTTAGCTCATCAGTACCAAACCTTGCTTTGTAATTGTTATGCTTGTTACTGATCACTCTGCTTAATTAAGACATTTTGGTGTTTGTGCTTTGGCTCCACCTCACTGGAACTCTACCTTGGCTAGCTTGAAGGGTAAAAGGAACTGAATCAATTCTTCACTTGTCTGTCTTCTTCAGATTGTGGTTCAAATTGAGAAAATATAGAGAGGGAGATGTGACTGAAACTCTTCTTAGATGGGTCCCTTGCACTAGCAAGAGAGCTAATGATTTCATTTCTAGGCTGTGGAGTATGGCGGTGTTGAATTTTGAGAGCAGATTGAGAGACTTCTGTATTCTTCTACGTCAAGTCTTCAAACAAGACACTGAAGCCACATTGTGAAAGAGAAACAAAGTTTTTGTAAAGACCTTAGACGGAGGATCATAAAGTCAAATGTCTATAGGGACAACTGTTTTGCCTACATGACGGTAGGGTTTGTAGTCAAGTGGAGAATGTGCCCCATTTAAAGGGGGTAGCTTTGTTTGCACTAGTAGATTGTTGCCATGCCAACATTTCAGCCCAGTATCTCCGCATTTTGCAATTTTTTTTCCAAGGGAATGATAATCTGGATTTTTATGTGAAATATCCTGAATTTTCAATGTTAGCAGCAAATGAAGATATCAGTAGACTCAGTGTCACACCCTCAAAACATGCTTGTGCAGTGCTTCTTTGCAACTTTTGTCTTAGACAAATTGATATGCAGATGAGGATCTGCATAAGTCATTTATGGTTTATGCTCAACTCTGCACAGTTTCACTCATGCATGGATAAGTTAAGTTGACTGGAGGAAGTAGAGTCCATCCATTTTAAATACAGTTCTAATCTGATCATTTGGATTCTGTCATTCATTTTATGTGGTTTCAGATCAGTGGAGATAGTTCAAGATTCCAAACCCCAAACTCATTGCTGTCAAGTCGATTCTGACTCATGTGACCCTACAGATTAGGGGTTCTAGATTAGGGGTCAGGAAAATGCAGCCTGCAAACCACATCTGGCCCACTGCTTGCTCTTGTGTAATCTGCTTGCTAAGGATGGTTTTTACCATTAAATGGTGGAGGAAAAAAAAAAAACAAAAGAATAATGTCTTATGTCTGAAAATTATATGAAATTAAAATTTTAGTATCCATAAATAAAGTTTTATTGGAACACAGCCATGCACTTGCTTATGTATTGTTTATGGATGCTTTCATGCTTCAGCTACAGAGTTGAGTAGTTGTGACAAAGACCATACGGCCCACAAAGCCTAAAATATTTATTTGCCCCTTTACAGATGAAGTTTGCTAACCCTTGTTCTAGATGGTCAGATCACTGTATGATACCATGATTATCCTTTGTTCCAAACCTTGGCAGTAGAAAGAAAATCTAGTTAACAAGATGGTATAATTGGAAAGATTATCATCTTAGAGAATGTTCTTAAAAATGGTTCTAGGACAGTCAGTTCTCAGCCCTGGTGTGCATTAGAATAACCTGGTTAGGGGTAGGGGGCTTGTAAAAGATACTCATGTCTTGGCCTTACCCTAGACTGGTTCACTAAGAATCTTTGGGAATGGGAA